AACCACCAGGATTTTTTTTCCCACTTCTGTTCTTTCACATTTTTTAAATAATGATTTGGGGAGGGGAGGGGGGAATATAATAATAATTAATAATAATAATAAAAGAAAGAAATGAATAACTTATTGGAAGAAATCGGAGAAACATTTTTGGTGTCAGTGCTTTGATTTCTTGAGCTGCACGGTCTGTCTTACTATTATTTTCATTTATTTTATTTTATATTATTTTTTTTGAATGATGTCCTGTCTCCACCCCAGATAAAACCATTTTCAAGAGCGTTCCTTTCTGAGCAACCCCATCACCTTGTTCCCCACCTTTCCCATCTCATCTCACCCCTTGTTTCTGTCTAGACTAGGAAAGAAGGGCAGGCAAGTGCCCAGGCTACCCCAGACCCTGCACGAAGACATGAGCCTTCGTTCATGACAGTGTCTTCACTTAATGACATAATATGGGATGCTTCAAGTCATGGTAGTTCAATTAAATTAGCTAATTCAATTTTTTAAGAACCTTATTTTTTTTTTTCCTAGTCTAGACAGACTATGTTTAGGTTACCAACGTTTACAGGTGTGTATGTGCGCATGTGTGCGTATGTGTGTGCATATACTTATGCACACACATAACCTGATAGGGGCGTGTGTGTATACTGTATATGTTCATATATATATGTATATATATGGATGTATACATATATATATATTTAATATGTGTGTATTGCCTCACATATCCATGCATGTAAACATACCTTTGTAATTTAGTACTTGCCTTCGATGGTAAAATGCCTTGTCTATAATGGGTTGCAAAATTTGAAAGTAAGGTCTGGTACAATGTCAGTGCTGTCTAATATCTTAATTTTCTGAGATTTCCTCTTTTCCTCTAGAGAGTTTTATATTCCTAACTATGCCAATGTTTCAGTCCTTAATTTCCTTGAGTAGTGTGTGCGAGAGATATTTTCCCCCATTTTTAAAGAACTGTTAAGAACAACAACAAAAAAAAAAAAGAGTGATATGAGTATGTAATTCTTTCTCAGGAGTATGCACTATTTTATTTTCTTCTGTTTCCTAAAGCTTTGCCCGCTTGGCTTATGAGCTTCTTCAAAGAGGACTAGAGATCCCTACACAATATATCAGGTACAGAGAAAAAAAATCCACAATTCTGATATTCTGATACTTTTTTTTTCTTTTTTTCAAATCAAAGCCAGTTGTTTCAGAATTCTGTAGGTGCACTTCTTTAAAGAAGCTCAAAGGGAATAATTTGAAGGAGATAAAAACTATAAGTTGAAATCGAGGTGTAATATTGCAAAGAAAATAAGAGCTGTGTTGAATGTTACCGCACTTGCTTGGCACCAGGGGTTTGTAACCAGGGAGGAAAGGGCTGCCATGTGAGCTTGCTCCTCGTGACGGGAGTGGGGAGGGTTTGCCAGGGAACATCCTGGTTTCTCATCTAAGTCTGAGGAAATCTGTTTCTCTTAGAAAGCTTTTCAAGAATGTCTTGTGACTCTTGCTTTGGAATGAGTCGGTGTGGTAGGGGGAAAACTTCTTAACTTCGATGTTTTTCTTAGTGGTTTGGTGTGTGACAGGATGTCTTATGCTTATGATTTGGGAGGGGTGGAGGGGAAGTCTGATTTTTTTCATTTTTTCTTTTTTTTTTTTCTTTTTCTCTTTTCATCTTTCTCTCTGTCTTATATGGTAAAAATAATGCTAAAGTGTAAGGATGTGAATTTCTGTTTGGATTCTGCAGTATTGGGTAATTGCATGTATTTCTCAGTGGGGCAGGATTTGTTCACTAACACATCTTTTTGCTCATGTCAGAACAGTTTCTGTGTTTGGGGGGAGGGGAGAGGGGCGTAAATCCTGTCTCTCGTGGAGTAGCTGGCAAAACTCCAGTGGGGCCAGTCCTCCCCCAGGACCCCTGTTAATTCTGCAGCACCTAGTGCTACCAACCCAGGCAGGCACACCTGTACTCCTAAGGGGGGAGAGAGAAAACTTAGCCTTGGCTTCATTCCTAAATACCTTCCAGAGTGGGTGGGTGGGAGAGAAATCATTTAGCAATACTCTCTTCAACCTCCAACAAAATATTTTTAAAGCAAAGCAAATGAACCTCATGATTCCCACCCATAATGTCCTTAGCTTCCTGGGGGATGGCAGCAAGTGGAGGTCTCAGGCCTTGTCCCCTGCCTGTGGGTTGGACATGTGGCAAGAGAAGCCCAGGGACTGTCCTGCCTTGATCAGTCCTGGGGAGCACCCACCTTTTCAGAGATGCTCTTCATCCATGTAAATTTGGTCCTGCTGGGGCAGAGTGCTCATCAAGGGGAAACTGAGGCAGGTGGCTTTGTCTAGGGATTGCTGGGATGACATGGAGGGGGCCTTCAGCCCTGGTCTCTGGTCAGCTTTAGGCAGGTCCCTGGCAGCCAACAGTGTGTTTGGCAATCGGCAGGTCCCTGGGAATTTCCCTGGTGGAGGTGAGACCTATGTAACACAACAATCCACACTGATCCCCTACCAGGATCCATGCTGGGGCCTCCCAAATTGAAGAGCAACAGCCTCTGGCCCTCTAAAGCCTGCCCCTTGACAATCACTCCCCTCCATCCCCATTTCATCAGCCCCCTGGGGAAGGAGACACTGGGTTCCAGCACAGGGCAAACCCCAGCAGGGGGATGTATGAGGAAGGGAAAGAGGACGTGTGTGTATGGGGAGGAATGAATGGCATCACCTGAAAATACATCTCCTTACTCTACCTATGGAAACTACTTACTGAAACCCATCTCAAAGTGTTGAACACCACTTTGCCTTGGTGAGGAGCCTGTGGGTTCAAACCATCCAATATCCCCAGCCTGGAGGTGCTCCTGGGCACTGGGGAGACCCCAAGTCAGAGCTCAGTCTTCCATCTCCCCAGCTGCATGCACAGGGACATGGGGGACCTGTCCCTGTCACCCATGAGCTTCCAAATGAAGGTCCAGGGGGATGCTGAGGATGGCCCTTCCTTTTTTTGGGAGGGGTGCTAGGGATGCTCCTTCCTTTTAAATGGGGAAGACAACCTAGAGCATCACACCACAACTGTGAATTAATGGGAAGAGGGAACTACTTCTCAGGGAAAGATCTGCACACGTGTGAGGGCCCAATCCTGCTGCTGATTAAATGTCCCCTAGGTGCAGGTTTGGTCTCCTGGAGCAGGATCTAAACCTTGGTAATGTCAAAGGGAGGGTTTCAGTTGACTCCTGGTGACTTTGGATCTGCATCTTGTGCCTCCTACCTGGAAGAGATAAACCGTAAATGCCAGGCTGTACTTTGCTCAGATGAAAAGAAAGTCAAATGTAAAATCCCCATTGATTTCAGAGAGGCTACCTTCCCCCCACCTTTTTCTGGTTTTGTTTTATGCTCCTTAAGGTCTGCAGACAAAGTCTTGAGGCTCCTGCTTTAAAAACAAAGAGGGAAAAGCATGGTGTAGGAGCGTAGCCATCCACCTCTGCTCTTCCTCATAGCCCACTGCTGGTCCCAGAGAGACTCATCCAGTGCTTGGTGTCTGTGGGTGCTGAGGATGGAAGTCTCCCCCCGAGTCTAATTCCAGCCTCCCGCCGGAAAACATTTTCCTGCTTCCCTGCACTTTCCCAGCCTGACTACTTGTGTTGGCGGGGCAGCTCAGACGTTTATCTGATAATTGAGTTATTAAAAGATTTGGTTTCCTCGGGATCATAAATCAATAAACAGGAGGATTAACACGGCAGCTTTGCTTTTTAACTCAAGAGAAAAGTTTGAGGAGAGACTGTGAAAAGTTTGTTTTCAAACCAAACAGGTGGGTTGCTGTAAATTTTATTTCATTTTTTTTTTTTTTTTTTAATAACAATTCTATTTTCCGTTGGAAATGTCTTTGTTTTTGTACTCTCCTCGACTTATTTTATTATTATTATTTTTTTTTTTCCTGGTTGTTATTCACACAAGGTGTGAAGGAAACAAGAAACCCATTCTATGGGAAACCTTTTCCAATCCAGCGATTTCTCTAAAATCGGGTCGCGTCTTGTCCCACCTAATAGAAATTCTCTGTGAGAAGTTGTTTCAGGTCCCTCTGCATCCCGGTCCCCGGACCAACCTCCCCCCAAATCCTCCAATTTCCATTTGGGGCTGGGTGGGGGGAGAATGGTTTTTAAGACCGTTAGCTCTGCCCCAGGGCTTATTCCCTTCCCCTGCTCATCTCCTTCCGACCGGTTTAACACGCAGACCTATTCGGCTTGTGTTTTAATACGTTTCTCGGAGAAATTGGTGCTCTGTTCAGCTGCCGTAAGCCTTTCCAGATCGATCCGGCCAAAAGCCCCTACCCCTCCGGCTTCCCCGTGTGAAAGACCGTACGCTTTTTACAAATAGTATATTTTCTTATACAAAGGAAAAAGGAAAAAAAAGTAAAAGGAAATATCCCCAAACACATTGGCAAACGCCTGAGCATTTCGAGACAGACAAAACATTGTGTGCCAGCGAGAAATAAGGAGAGAAAAATCAAACTAATGCAAAGCTCTGAAAAAGCAGTTGAGAAACTGGAAAGATGAAAGAAAAAAAAAAAGTCATATAAACACTGTTCCTTTCTATGCCCCAAACGATCCCTTTCACCTCCTCTTCTTGAAAAATCTGACCATGCAGTGAGAAATGTCAGTTTATCGACTCTTCCTGAGAAGAAATGCGGAGAGGCATTCAGTATTGAGTTTGTATATATTTATTTATGCTTAATTTAACGGGAATGTGTAAATATGGCGAGCAAGTAGTTTTTGGGTTATTTATCTGTGAATCTATACCTCTGTGAATGGGTGGGGGAATTTAAAAACAAAAAGAAAAAAAGAAAAAAAAAAAAAAAAGAAAAAAGAAAACCGACAAAAAAACCGCCTGACTAGATAGTATCCTATCTGAATCTTTTCTGTTCTTTATAGACAAGCTGTTATGGTAATGGGTAGAAATTGGTTTCTTGTCCAGTGATGACCTGATTTACATAAATAATAAGAATAAGAATAAAAAAAGAGATTGTTGTGTTTTGTTGTATTTTCCTCTTCAGTTTTTTTGAATGTTGGTGCTGCTTCGATTCTGCAGACGGATTTACTTATAACTCCAAGAAGTCTTCATTTTCCCAACATAGGCTTTGGGGAAATTCAGGACATGTCTCTACATAAAAAAAAAAAAAAAAAAAGAAAAAGAAAAAGAAAAAAAAAAGACAATAAATATTGCTTCTCAGAAATGTTGGTATTTTATTTCTATCTGACTCAAAGCGTCCATATTTTTACCATCCTTACCTCTTCATTCTAAGCAGACCTATAATAAACCTCATGTCATGTTAACGTGATCCTTCGTTTCATTTTGCCTTTACTAGCTGAATTAAGAGATAAGAAAGAAAAATGAAATTATTTTCATTTTCAAAGTATTAGCCATTAAATCAAAATGTTATATATAATTACAAGTCTTCGATATCAGGAAACTTTTTTTTTCTTTTTTTAATTATTTAATTTCCGCGGTTCCATTGCTGTGTAACTGTTGTTGTACGTTTCACTTATGTATATGTGACTGTGAGCGTGTATATATGTATATATATACTCTTATATACAGATCGGGAATAATGTTCGTATTCACAACGCGGCATTATTTTCTACCTTTAGGTCTACAGTCGCAACAACTAATTATCAAAAGGAAACATTAAAAAACAAAACATCCCTCCTCCCCCTTCCTTTCCCAAATCGGCTTTATTTGGGTTTGTAATCGGCACTGATGAAGAACAGCTCCGGGGAGATCCCAATCCCCAGGGCTAACCCGGAGCCACTCCGGAGTGACTCGGGATTTACCCTGCAGTTGGGTAAAGAGAAAGGCGGGGGACAGACACATCAGGATTTATTTTTATTTATTCGCTGCTGTCATAGAAAGAAGTATTCTTTTCCACCCTCTCCTCTCCTCCTCTCCTCCTTCCCCCCCCCCCCCCCCTCCGCATTTCGGAGCTGGAAAGGACTGTCAGTTTATCCCTCGGCACGGTCACCCTGCGAAAAAACACACACGTGTGCTCAGACAGACAGGGAGCCCTGCGGCTGGAAGCCGGTTTAAAGCATCGCATTTACTGCGATGAACTATTTTAGTTAAATACCCGCTCCGAAGAGTTGGCTGGGTTCAGGTTTGCCTGGTGGTTTTGGGAGGGAGCGGTAGTGAAGAGGGAGGACAGAGAAATGCGGGAGCCAGAGCAGGCAGCGGATCGGTTTTTGCAACTTAATATTTCTCTCGGAGAAGGGGTGGGGGGATAGCAAAAAATAAATCCATCCCCACCTCCATCTCCCAAACTACCTCCCTTCTCCCTCTCCTTCCAGCTTGGACTACAGGAGCCGCCTCAGCTGATCGCCCAAGGTGTCCATAATAAATCCTCCTCAGCATAATAATAAAAAACGCCTTGCAAACCACGACCCCAAAGTCTGTTTTATGGGGAAGCTTTCGAGGCTCGCTTGCCTCTGCTTCAGCCAGGCTTGGACTCAGCCGTGACCTACTTTCTGTCCGTGGTGTGATGGCAAAAGCGCCCGGAGCAAGTTTGCGGGGCCCGGGATGGAGGGAGTGGGTGGAAGCAGGGGATTACCGGGGTCCGAGTAAGGGGTAAAAAGAGGTGGGGGGAGGAAAAAAAAAAAAAAAAAAAAGGAATCCCAGTCCCCCTTTTCCTTCTTCCTACCAGAGTTTTGCAGGGCGAGGATCGGGGATCCCCCAGCCCCCTTCAAGGCTGACCCAGCTGCGGGCAGGTGTCGGGTGAAGGATGCCCGCGGGCAGGGAGGGCTGGGAAGAGCAGCGACATCGGAGCTGGTTTCCAAAAGCAAGGCTGCATGCTTTTATGCGTTGTTTTGTTTTCTTTTGTTTTAATCGCGCCGATGATATTATTTTTAGTAGAGCATATGTTTTGCATGAAACCTTTCAAAACAGCTCGCGAAGTTCCCAGAGGAGTCTGGGAGGGGTGTTTGGGGGGCGAGAGGGGCGGCTCAGGAAGTTTCTCTGCTGTCCAAGAACTGTGCAACAGTTATGTGGAGAAAAAAAAAAAAAAAAAAAAAGAGCGAGGAAAGCTCTTTTATAACTCAGCAGAAGCACCCGCTGGTAGAAATGGGGGCTCCCTTTAAAGGGCGACCCGAAGATACGAAGAAGGGCTCACCCCAGTTTCCTAACCTCCCAGGGGCAATCTTGAGATGGCAAAGCCAATGAACATACGTCTATATTTATAGTAAATACAGGTAGGGCTCCGGGTGCCGCTGTGCCTTGCCTCTCCCGGGGCCGCCTGCTCCTCCCTCTCCCTCCAGCTCACAGCCAGCGCTGTTTGGGGGAGCGGCGGGGGGAACTCGCCCACCAGTGGGGCTGAACAGGGGGTCAGGAAAGAAGAAATATGCCTGCTGGTCTGTGCTCCACTTCATTATCCTAAAGGTCTCCAACAAATCAAGATCAGATTCTATCTATCTATCTATCTGTCTATTCCTCTATCTAATCTATCTATCTTTCTACCCATCCCGGTCTTTCCCCTTTTCGAGCTTCTCCCTCGGCTAAGGTTAAAAATAAATGAATAGCAGCAGTAACCTATCTCATTAAATTTCCCCCTCCCCACCAGTCTGATGTTATAATCTGCTTTCCCAGTCGTGACCGGCGGGGACCTTTTCTCTGTCCCTTCTGCCTTGCCCCAGTCTCTGTTTTAAACTCAAGGTACTTCTAGTTTCCATTACAAAACTTCACCTTGATTTATATAGTCATAAACATCATTTTTGTCTTCCATCCCTTTGGGCTGAACTCTTTTTCTTTCTTCCTTTTGGTTTTCTCCTTTCCCCCTCCCTACCTGCATGGTATGGCCCACATTTATATGAGACCTCATAAATAACATCTGGTGTCCCTATGATGGAACTAGTCAAATGTCTTAAATAATCCCCAGTACCGATATATTCCCTGAATTCTTTTGTTTTCTCTGTCTCTCCCGTAAACAGTCATCCACACAGATTTTTTCCCTGTAGCTGGATGTGTGTGCTCAGCTGTACCGGGATATTGTGTTACATGGAGTGTCCCTAAAATGCGCGTAGCTGCGCAGCATCGTGCAGAATCAAGCTCTTAATCCCACTACTACGCACTGTTATAAGTTAATAGGAAAAAAAAAAAAAAAAAAAAAAAGCAATGCTCCTTGGTTTTGTCTTCGGAATTAAAACATTGGAATAGATTTCGGGAATGCAAAAGTCCGGTCCTCCCCGCACTCTCCCCCACTCAGCCCAGGGCTCTGCTTTCTGCACATTCCTCTGACTCTGGGGCATCCCAGAAGGGCCGTGGGCCTGATCCTGTGCCCCGGGGCAGTGGAGCAAGGGCTGCCCGACTTTCCCTTGCAGCAAGTCGTCCTTCTGCAAAACCCCCGAGAAAAGGAAACCTCTGGGGAACTGCGAGTTAAGAGTGTCTGTATGCTCTCCTTAACAGGAAGATGGAAAAACCAGACTCTCACGCAATTATGAAATCACAGCAATTACTTCGGAGCTTCCCCCAAACAACAGGAAAATTAAAAGTGTGTGTGAGTGTGCATTTCTCACCCGAATATTCAGAGGCAATAGTCCTTTTACCTCCCAACTCCAGCTTTGCCCCCGGGTGGGGCAAATAAATAATTCCCCAAGCCCCAAAGACAATAAATAAATAAAGAAAACAGTAAGTTTAACCCTTGGCAAGGTGTTTTGAAGCGGTACCCCGGGTGTGCAGTGTGACCTCCTGCTTCGCAGAGTGGGGAGGTGCTGTGCCTGGGGTTGTTTCTGCTATTAAATCCACAGCGGTGTGCGCGGACGAGCATCCTTCTTCTGGACCATGCGAGGACAGGTGGAGAAGAACATCTCATTTAAAACAGAAACGTTTGGTTCTTTCCAGGTGATAAATTAGTGAGACAAATAAAGAACAGTGGGTACAGCTGCAATTACATACTTAGTTTGACTCCCTTAAACGCCAGGGTGAATGAGATGGGTATGGACATTTCGCTGCCTTGTAAAAATCCTTTAAAATAAAATAAAATAAAAAAATAATAATCTTTTGTCTCATGAAATCAGCTCTAAGACTAACTGATCTCACTCTTAGTGCATAGAGCATCACCTGGAAGTCTTCTTTCCTGCAAAACTCTCACAGAGTTAACCGAGAGCTGCCTTTATTTACCCCTCCAGCTCTGTTCTGTCCCCAAATCAGCGGTCGGGACAAGAGCAAACCCCGCTTTCCTTTATACTAACGCTGCTTTATTTCAGTTCAGAGTAGATCTTATTTTGGGTTGGGAAATGGGTAGCCCGTTTGCAGCTCTGTATGGAAAATCAGCCTACAATAACTGGTAACAATGGGGAGAGGGGTGGTGGGAAAAAAACATACTGGGGACGGAAAGCCTTTTCGGATCAATGCTTTTCGAGGAAAGAGGACGAATTTTAAAACCTATTTCAGATCAGAGCAGGAAGGAAAGAGGCGAAATATGTCAAAACGAAAAGTTCTAGATTTAAACGTTAATGCTCGGCGGTGAGTGTGGGAGATGGTTTTGTTCGCCTGGGAAAGCAAAGCCCGGCTTTAACCTACCCCGGCCAGACGCCAGCCCCCCCGCTGCCTCCCCTCAGCCTTACACCCGCAAAACCCCGAGCAGACGGACGAGGGAGGAAGGCTGGGCAAGGCTCTGACTGTCGCTTAAACCCCTCCAGTTTTACTTTCCTGGGACCTTGCCGTTGCAGCCGGAGCCTGGGGGCTTTCCTTGCGCCCTGCAGCTGCCGGGGGAGGACGGGGGCGATGGCCGAGGCGTAGTAGGGACCTCCTTCTTCCTTACGCTTCAAAGGTTTCTTTAAACTTTAACTTAGGAGTGACATGAAATGAGAGAAAGGAACTTTCGTTGGGGGAGACCTGTAAGCTCCGACCTGTAAGCTCACATTTTGAAACAGATTTTTCTTTTTCTTTATTCCAGTTTTTTTCCTTGCCCCCTCCCTGCTCTGGCCTTGGCTAGGGAAGTTGGGGTTTGTTTGGAAAGGAGAATCATCCAAAAAAAAAAAAAGAAAGGGAGGGAGGGAGTTAGTTACATGGAATTTCTCTTCTGGATGAAAGGTGATAATTAGCGGTTTGCTCACCCAAATGTAGAAATACCCGCAGCCCAAAAAACACACAGGGCTGGGGCGTTGTGCAATCCTGGAGGATAGCTGTGAAAGTCAGAAAGGGTTTTTCTTTTCTCCCTCTGGCTGTAGATATCGTCTAGTGTGTGTACATATACGTACTCGTGTTACTGACCTGCGGGACATATTTTACAGCTACTTATCTCTCCCCGTGCAGAGAACGAAGGCGACAGGGCTATTTCCTCCTTTCTGTCTGCTTTCTCCTTCTCTCCCTGTTCCTATGCAGCTGCCACAGCCCGTGTCGTTTGCAGCCTCTTTTATTCGCCAAAAACACCTGACCGGCTCCGGGAGACTCCTTCTGCAATATGACAATTCTCCCTGCCAGGAGGGATGGCCACGCTTGTCAGGGGCTGCAAAGTTGGGATATCCCCAGCTCTAACTCCTTGCAGAAATTGGGAGAGGGGAGAAAAGCATGGGAGGGAGCACATCCAGCCACCAGCCAGCCCCTTTTCCCCTTGTCCCTTTCTAGAGGGGTGAGAAAGAGCTTTCCCTCCCCGAGCTCCCCGCTTCCCAACATCCTGCCAAGCAATAGGCTGTAAAATAGTTATCCAGCCCAGCACACAGGCAAGTGCCGTTTGAGAGTAATTTCTGCCCCGAGCGTTTGGCCGGGGGCAAAGCAAGCGTGCTCTCTAACTGATCAACCTGGATATTTCATTATTCATTAATTTACTGTTTAACCAAATCCCACTCATTATCAGAGGCAACGCTTGGCAGAGCCCAGCGAACAGTAGCAGTTGGTGTCAGGCGTGGAGAATTGGCCCATTTGATCCTGGGCTGTTTTATTATTCAACACCACTGACTGAGAAAAAGGCCCATGAATAATAAAGAGCCAAAGCGTGTTTGAACTGAGAAGCATGACACAGCCTTACAAAACAGCAGTTAGGAAATTAAAGGCGAGGTGGCCCAGGCTTTGCATTTTTTATTCTCACTGTGGGCACAGGCATTGGGATCCCACATTTTTTTGTTGCTACTGTGTTTATTGCTGTTGTTGTTACTCTTTTCCCACCAGCCTTTTGAGAGGTGCAAGCCCGAACTCTTAATCGGAAACTTTTATTGCAAAGTTTCTCTCTGCTCTATCCCGATTGTCATTTTGGTTTTAAAAATGACACAACTTGTGCTGTTTGCTTTTTCTCCCTTCCTTTACTCCATAGGAAATAAGCCTACTACAGGCATCGTGTCTGGATCATTTTGTGTGTAAACCCACAATAAATCTCACAAGAGAAGGTTAACAGAGCACTGGGATGCCAACGGTGCCTCGGGAACTCTGCTGAGATCTGCGGGACCCTCAGGGCTGGAACTAGTCCTTAAGGATCAAGTCTCCAGGAAACAATTCCTTTGAAATAATTTTTCATATTTTGACACCACCTTCATCTTTAGGCACTGACTGATCACCAGCTGAAAAGCAGAATACACCTCCAAGACAGTGACACCATTCAAAAAATATTTCATGTTGGATGTACATAATTTAATAGTAATCCTTATTATTATCATGCCTTTCATTCTAGTGAACCCAGACATTTGCTTTTTTGGCCCGAACCCTTCCCTCTTCCACACAGCAGCAATTCATGGGTGTTATTTTAGTTACATTAGCAACACCATGTATTTTCCAAAATTCTATTGCTGTTAGGACACATAGGACTGTCTTATGGAGTAGTGACTTTTTGTATCTTTAAGAAAAAAAAAAAAAAAAAAAAGTATTCTCTAAGGTGGCTACAACGCAGTGTCCTGAAAAAAAAAAAAAAAAAAAAAAAAAAAAAGAGCTCCACCTTTCATAAATTCTGCAAGAACTGTGGAGCAAAATAACTTAACCCTAATCTCACCTTCTGATATTGGAGAACTTTGCAAGACTTTTGGTCAAAATATTCTTTCTGTGTTACCATTTTGATATTTCCTGACTCTGACAAAAGTTGTTGTGATTTTCTTAAGTTGCATCATCATTTCAATTAGAAATAGCATCTTTAATGTCATCAGGTTGCAGTAAAGATCTGACTATAATCTGTAAGCAAAGGTAGGATGAATTTTACCCTTCTGACTTTTCTATTCACCTTCTGTCAACTCTACCAGCCTTCTCTGCATCCAAGGCTGGGCACAACATGCTGTGGGAGTCACAGACTGGGGGAGCCAGCCCCATAACACTGAGACTGGTCTCCTCCTCTGCCATTTGGATCTGCACTCCAGATGCTTGGCTGGAGAAAAAAGATCGTCCCTCCAGTTTGTGTCCCTTCCTATCTTCCCTCTCATCTTCTCCCCTGCCTCCTGAGATACACAGAAGGGATTTCTGGTGGGTGGTAGCCGTGCAGGGAATGATAATTATAAGACCAAGTGTAGGTTATCTGCACATATTAGTTCTGGTCAGGATCAACAAAGAACTCCTAAATGATTTAGAGTTACTTGATTTGGATCAATTGTTTATTTAATAAAAAAGTGGCCAATTCAACCCCACACATGTCTTTTTATTTTCTTTTTTTATTTTATTTTTTTATTTGTGGCCTGGCTCCCTGCAAAGGCATCTTTGAACAGGCCATGTGTATCCTACTGTGGCAGCAGGCACTTATCCATAGACTCTGTCTCATCCTGCAGTGTGTTTTTTAGTTTTCTTTTTTCTTTTTCCTTTTTCTTTTCCTCTGGTGTTGCTTCTAGAAGAAGTGGTGTGAATTTCATTGGATTTTTAAGTCTTGATTAAAAAACAAACAAACAAAGAAACAAAACAAACAAACAAACAAAAAAAAACGGGTTCAAGTCTCTGTTAGGAATACAGGATTGGAAATTTGGCTTCTCAGTCAGAGTTTTGTCTTATCTTTCTAAATGAAAACCTGCTTTAGAAATCACTTCAGATTACCAGTTTCCTCTTAAGTCTGGTTCAGACTGACTGTGGGTTTTAAATAATGGGAAAAATAATAAGGTGTCTGTACATGTGTGTGCACATGAACTGGTACAAATGATTGATGCTTGCTCTGTTTATTCCTCTAATGTGTCTATATGAAATCTTTTTCCTATCCTTTTTTTTTTCTTCCTTTTTTTTTTTTTTCGTTCTTTCATTAATATTCATGAGTATGGTTAGTATTACTGGAATTGAGTGTATCTAGTGAAAACAGCCCAGACTTCTTGTTAGCATTTGTGTGGGCTTCATACATATTTGAAGTGGGTGTTCTCATTATCAGGGAAAACACATGGCCAGGTTCATCATTGCTGAAACAACTTCCTTGCTGACTTTAGGAGAAAAAAGATTTCACCTGGACATCTCTACTAGCAAATTGCAAAAGATAGCCATGTAGTTATGCAGAAGAGACTATACATATGTGTTATGTTATGGGATTGCAGACACACGTCTGATTTGGACTGCCAGTTGCTGCAACATTGAGTGGTTGGTCATGTGTTAGGAAACACCAGTAATTTGCTCTCATAATGTTTCCACTTGGTTTTCATTCCTGCTAGGTTAGTCCTGCTAGGACTAACAATAACAACTGTAGGGTACTTTCTTCAGGAGGTATAAAATAGTGAGGACTCAAGGTTATTTTGTGGGAAGGTAGTAGTCTTTAAGAACAGCAGCATGTTTTTTTTTTTTTTTTTTTTTTCTTGGTAAAAAGTGGTTCTCTTTCTGTTGCTGTAAAATAAATAAATAAATAAATAAAGGTTCTGCTGTCAGGACAGGAGAAGAAATCTGGTGTTTCCATGCATGCATGAATGTGACGAGCAGACGTGTATCCCAGTGAAGGTTCTTGAGCGTAAGTGGATGCGAATGCCAGAGAAGGATTATACCATAGGTGCAGAATTGCAGGTTTAATCGCATG